TGAGACTTTATGCAGCATCATTATCCCAAGAAGAGAGCACATTATTGGTGATGTTAATTGTAATGAATATTGTAGTAATTTTAGTTTGAGTAACTATATAATTATAAAACAAAAACCTCTCATTGCAGCCTGAACCAATGTAACTTTCTTTTGAGACAATTTTTAAGCAAATTGCTTGCTCTCCAAGTATGAAAATGAGACGTAATTGCCCAATGTATTGTCAGGTTTACTCTTCTCAATGGCCACTTTCCATTTGCACTGCGGGTAAAAGAAAAAAAAACATCTCATTCCTGCATCCTTTTTAATTATCACATTGTCCCATTACGAGCATTCACATGGACTCTCAAAGCCTCTGGCATTTGCAATTTAGAGGCTCACCCAGTACAACCGGTGGATAATTCACCAGTACAACTGGCCCCGAGGATCAACATTACCCATAGCTCTATGGTAAACTCTTTAAGGCCACATGCTGGCCACCACTGGCCAGGCAATGCGCATGATCTGGTGATGCAGCTGCATTGGTGGTGGTGCACAAGTACAATGAACAAAATACTCAAGGCATCCGTGAAGAACACCACCTTAAAGAGAACAATGAAATAACAAGCGATGATTTGGGCAATGGGCTATCTTCATTGTATGTGCTATGCAGAAGAACCATTTCCTGTAAAGTCACCTACAAAATATATATATTTTTAATTTTAAGGCCATAGTGTTATTGAAAAATTAGTTTGAGTTTCGTGATAATCTCCCTAAAGTCTGCTGTGTTTTAAATGCTCGCGTGCTCTGAGCACACGAAGACGGCATTGTCGAGAACTCTATGACACGGCACAGTGCATTGAGCTACGCCAGACGCTCCGACCGCGTGAATATCAACTCGACTAGATTGTTTGAGTGAGCGGTGCCACCACGATAGTATTGGATAGACATATGGCCCACACCGAACCGAATCTAAATCTGTGCTACCCATCTCAGATGCGGTGGCATGCGACTTCGGACATCCTGACCAGACCATGGTCCACATTATGAGCCATGGTTAACCTCAGTTAATGTCAGCGGAGCCACCGAAAACGTCTATCCGCCTCTCCCCAAGGTTGTCCCTGTAGTTATCAGACCTGGAATGGGAGCTGCTAATACAAAGCCATATACAATAAGCAGACGTATGCGCGTAAACAAAGTGTGGATGCAGTGTTCTCCAAAAGCTACCAAACTGAGTGCTGTAAAATTTTGTCTTGTGGCACACAATGTGCCACAGTTGTTAACAATTTGGAGACGTCAAGAAGTATTGGTCAGGGATGTTCACAGGTTACAGCGGGCACTCAGAAATGTGTCCTTTTATGAACCCTGTGTATTTTTACTTGGGCACATCTGTTCCCCATGGGTTAGAGCATGTCAAACGCAATTATCTACAATTATCCGCAAATATTTCTTGCAGAATCACAATACAAAAGAACGTGTAACATTTCATTGCGATTCTGACAGTTATGTTAACAGCACGTGTGTATTTTGCATGCACGGATGCGGCCAGCAGTGTTGAGAGCGTTGCGTGCACAGCGCTATGTATCCTCAAGTCACCCGAGTTCCGTTCCCGGTCAAGGTTAACACTGGTGGCAAGCGATTTGTGAACAAGTTCTGGGTCACCACCGTCACCAACCCACACTGAGCAGAGTGAAATACGGTCAAACAACCTCCTGGACCAACGCGGCATGGAGGAAGCCTTCATCCAGCAGTGGGTGGCCGAATGGCTGCAAATTATGAATAATTATTTAGCATTAATAGCAGCTGGTGCACTATGCTTAAATCTGTTACGACTGCCCTTCAACTGTCATCCCTGGCTTCTCCTCGGATGACTCGGCCTAAACTGTGATGTGGAAACATCAGAGCTCGTGAGATAATGTCAGCCTGGCATGGTGCTTGCCGCACTACTGCCTCACGCACCTCGCCAAGCTTAATCAAGAGCGTTTCGGCAGCACTTACCCTAACACTCGCCACTGGAGGAGTTCTCTTTACTGTGCGTGTTATCTCATGTCTTTAGAATTGCTTTTTGTGTTCAGTTTGTTGTCCTTCCCACGCACCTCCGATTAGCACGGTCGGCCACGTACGGTGCGAAAGAAGTTTAACACACATCCTTTTCTACGTCCGTAGGCAACACTAGCACGGCTGCCAGTGCAAGGGTATGTGTACGGGGATAACTCTACCACCTACCTGGCATGGTACACACTAGCTGCTGCTGGTATCAATGTGAAACCATAACAGAGGCTCGTTTATCACCGAGTTTGAATCAACACGATGGTAATGGGAGGAGGGGGGGTAAGTAATAACGAACAGAACTTGTGGCTGGCTGCCCCATGACGAATTCGTGTTTGAATGATCCAGATTTGAATGAATCAGATTTCAAAACAGAACTTCCGAAGAGGGTGGCACGCGTCCTGGCAGTGTCTCCTTCACGCGCAGGCTCCCCCCAGAATATGTATTCATGGCGTAAACTGAAAATGCATGTTTGCTGGTTGATCAATCACAATTTTAAAAGTGCTCATGCAGAATGAAAACATGCATCAGTGCAGCCAAGCAACCCAGTTAATCCATTGATGTCCACTCCATGTATTAACCTCCTTCACCTCCATTAGCAGAATGTGTTGAAGCAGGTTATACAAAGTGCATGTCATACTCATGGTGCATGCGACCACTTTAGTTATGCGAATGATTTATAGATTCGCAAACGGTTCGGTTATGAATCTTTCAGGCACACCTGGGCCAGCCAAAACAGAAGCCTGCCCTCCTCCATCAGGCCATGTCCTCCGTGCCCCGTGGGTTTAGATGTATCGCTTGGGATGTATCATGTTGTGGTGTTTTTGTTGTTGTTGTTATTTTGGATCGAGATGTAACCTGGTCGATATTCGTCCTTTTGTGTATGCTTGTATCCTCGCTGCACGCATTTCCTATTACTCGTTCTCTCATTAGATGTAAACTTCTCTTCACGCTGCTTGCCTCACACCGCTCGACTTCATGAATTCCCCTGCCTATCGTCTCTCTCTCTCTCTCCCCACATTGTTGGAACCTTGGCGGGATTCAAGAAAGACGAATTACCGCGCGTATGTTACGATTTCGACGGTGCCGTTTGTTGCTGGCTACTTGGTGGCAGGGTTGGGGCCTTATGGGCCCTGTGCTCAGACACTGTGATCAACAACAACAACAAAAATCTCCTTTAAGGACAATATTGAGCTGCGACGTCAAAGCGAAAGATTAATTTGCTTCTCGGAATTCATCAGTCTCCATTTGTATGCAGTATGTACATGGGGAAGATACAACTCCATATATACATATATGTTATGCGACGAAAACGTTTTACAACAAGTTTTGGCAGAGGAAAATAGGGGAACACATTTGTTCATCTTCTTTGATGTCATGTGAATTCCCATGACATTGAATGCACAGAGAAATACATTATTTAGAAAAAAATATGAATTGAATGCTATTTGGAAAATCAAAAGCACTAAGTATTACAAGCGGGAGAGTAGTATTTTAAGGGCCACCCTCACAGAGGTCTTTGGCTTGCCATCGAACAAAGATGGTCACTGCATCGCGCACTTTCAGATGTGCTTCTGCTGTCGCCTGGAACGCTCTCCCTTCCGATATTAGGAAGCCACTGGAGCTATGCACTTTTAAATCTAGCCTGAAATCTTATTTTTTGAGAACAGCTTTTTGTGTTTCGTTTGCTGTCCTTCCCTCGCACTTCCAATTATCACGGTTTGCTATGTATGGGCTCGCATAATGCACATGCATAATGTACGTTGACTCAGCAATCCCCCCCTCCTACTTTGCGAAAGAGCGCAGAAGCATGGTCACCACATCTACGCCTCTATATAAGGAACGAAACAGTAAGACTTCTCCACAAATCTGGCTGTCGCCTGATGCAGCTGGTTGTAATTACTCCCATCGTACTCGGATTGTAAATGTTGTGGCTTGGCTCTCCAACACACCGATGTGCTGTATTAGTGACGAATTGGCATGTTATGTTTACGTGACAACCCTGACTAGTTGGCTGTGTCGGGTGGTGACGGGTTTTAACGACACATTTATATATTTACGCGATCTAACTAAAAAAAAACTCTATTATGGATGATATTGGTCGCGAAAGCCTATGTGTTAAACTGGTGTGAAAGAAGTTCAACATACATACAACAGCTCTATTCCTTTAAGATACGCAAACAATTTTCTAACCCTTTTCATGCCACTAAATGCAGCTGAAATACAGAATGTTGAAATATGCATGCCCATAGCTTATCATCCGCACCAAACACATTTCGAGCATGCGTGCGCATGTCCGTGAGTGTGTGCGAGAATTTCTGGCGTCGGGGTTACCGCACAGCACCGCTATTAATTACTGGCCACACACACACACATCATTAGTGGCCATTAATGTTGAAAGTTGTCTTGGGCGTCTCCTAAAATAATCATCTCATGCAGTGTAGACAACAACGGTAGCGCTGGGGAGACAAAGGCAAGCGGGAACGGTGTAGTCGAGAAACAAGATTGCGAGCCATGCGAGCCGCCTTCATGGGTGTTCGCTAACTGCACTCACCCCGAGCGGTCTTCGAGTCTAAACTCCGGATCTTCGTGTTTGTATCTCTCCCTCTGTGTTTCCGGGTTGTACCGCGTGTTGTTCGGCTCGACGTTCGACGTTTCGCTGCGCGTGGCGGGAGCTCCTTCCTTGAACCGAAGCCTTTCATCTCCTTCAAGGGACTATCCAGTTCCCAGCACGTGGAGCGAAACGTCGGAAATGGTGCCGAACAACACGCGCTTACAACGCAGGGAGCTACGCAGCACGGAAGCGGAAAACCTCACGTGGTTGTGTTCACACCCTGACCTGCCATATATTAGTGGCAGATGCTTGTCCTTGTGCGTGTTTGTGCGACCGGCTACGGCCTATGTCCTGGATCGTCGTTGCAGATGTAGGTTCCAGGGTTAAAAAAAATCGGGGCTTCGTTTAAATCCGCACTGACCTGTAATAACCAGTAGCACCTTCTGTGGAACGTCGGAATGATTGAAGAATGCACGTAGCAGCCGTAGAGACACTGCCAATGAGAGAAGGAATCCACAGGGGGAGGGTGGGGCGGACAAAAAAAAAAGACAAATGAGCCCATTGAGTCAGAACATCGCAAACGACGAAGGGAAAAAAAACATCACGCGTATACACATAAATAAACTTCACTTACAAGTGGCAAATTGCGCTTCGTTAATAAATTATCTCGACAGCAAGATTGCATTTCCTCCGCAGATGCATTTACAACGATGCCTTTGAACGTTGTATTTTTTTGTGACTTGGAAATTAGTTTTGATCAGGGATCTGGATAAAAGAATGCCAGAATTGCGAGGCACACAGGTGCTTGATGACGCAGCGGTCTCTGTCTGCATTATCGGAGCGTTTAACCCCACTAGAGCCGTGGTTCTCAGTGGAATGCGGTGCCCGGTACCACTGGTGGTCCCCGTGACAGTCCTCCAGGTGGTCCGCAGGGCTGTGATGCAAACGCAGGTTGATCCAGAAATAATGGCAATTTGTTTTGGACATTAGATTAACATTTTACTTACGATATTTAATTTTAAAAGTGAGGTAAACTACACCTATTTAAACGACCCTAACCATAAGATCCACCCTCAAAATAAACTTATGGCTGCAAAAAAAAAGAATTGATGTTCCGGTAATATGAATAATTTTGTATGACTGATATTTATAGAGATAAGTGAATGCGTTTTGTCACCAGGGGTGAAGCGGGTGGGGGGGGGGGGAGCTGTGTGGAGTCTGTGGAAATGTTTGCATCGGCTGAGCGGTCCACGGGCCAAAAAAGTCTGAGAAACACCGCCGCAGAGGGCTCGGTTTGACATTAAACGTTGAATTGCAACTGACCGTGGCATGCGATTATATAAAGGCAACGGTAGAACAGGTGTTCCGTACACCGCATGAGCACAACACAGCTGGCCAAAGGTCTCGATTCTCTCGCGTGGGCACCTGCAGTCATATTTATCACGTCGACTGGAGCAGTTGGAAAGATTGGGCTACTCACACTTTTCCCCCCACAAACAAAAAAAAGCTTTACAATGGCACATCAAAGGCAGTTAAACTTTTCCTGAAGGTTTCATCCACTTTTTGTTCTAATCTTAAATTATATCTGAAATTATAACCGTAATCTTTTAGAAACCACGTTTGCACATGTCAAACGGGGGGCGGGGGGGGGGGGAGCACATAATGGGAAGGGGACCCTTGAGGTCGGGTAGAGGTTACGAGCATCAACTGATTCAAACTGTCGTACATAACTTGACGTGACAAGACATTTAAAATTGCGAGCGGTACAAACACAGCATCTAATTTTTTACAAGATGATTTTTTTTAGATGATTCAGCACTGTTTGACACTATTTGCTGACATGTGCAACACTACGATAACCATCATCATCATCGTCGCATTAGTGCCCATTCAACACCTCATACCAATGCAGAGTTTTAATCAGCTGCATATTATTATTGTTGGAGGTCACTGCAAGAGAAAGCGGAATATTATTTTGGAAGTCCACCCCCCCCACCTCCACATCTATTGTGTAGCTTTTCACGGTGAACTTATTTTTCACGTAGTCTTTCAGGCCGAGACTTATGTAACCTTGGGGATTGCCCTGTGCGGTTTTATTGAGACACTACACACGAGCCCTCGGGAAGTCACCCCCAACTGAATTATTACACTAAGTGGTATCCTCCCTGATCCATTATACGGTCCCATCATATGATGCATGGCCGTGCCATTCGACTTTAAATAATCCCACAAAACGAACACCCCATTTTTTGAAAGACGCCCGATAAATCTCTTGAAAGACGGCACCGAATCTCGCGCCGCAGCACAGAGGCACGAATAAGCGAGACGGAAAACACCTCGCATCCTCGGTACACCACGTGTGCAGCGATACCCCCCCCTCCCCATTTGCATCGTTTCACAAACCCGTCGTCACTTTATCGACACCGCTTCACGATTTGCATCGCCTCAACCCCCACACACGCGCTCACGTCGCTGACAGCGTCGTCGTCGTCCGTCCTCTCTCGTATCCGTCACCTCTCAGCCTTCGCCTCCACCACCCACTGTCCCGTGAATCGCTTTGATTGACGTCGTTTCGATATTCGTCGGCGCACCTTTCAAGAACCAATCCCAACGTATACCGGGGAATTAGTGTCCTGCAAGGTCGTGTACACATCACACCCCCCCCCCCCGCCATGTAATACAGAGCTGTATATCAATGATGCTCCACAGTGAATAACACATCGAGGCTCAAAATAAATCCGGTCACGGGCGCGGAGAACATTTGATGTATTGCGAGGTATCGAAGGTCTCTGGGTTCACCTTGGATCGAACTGCGTTCGTGTAAATCGATTCAAATTTACTCGGCGATACGGCGTTGGCAGTGGTGCACAAGCACAACTAACAAACAACTCAACACATTCATCAATAACACTGCGATGAAAGGAAGTGTGTGGGGGGGGGCATAATAGGTGACGTTTGGGGCAATGATCCTTCTGCACAGCAGAGAGATTTGATTAGGGTCAATCCTCATGCCCTCGGTACATATGCATCGAAGTGTGCCCCTAAGGATCAGCTTCTGATGATACGTGCAAACAATCGGCGAGTGGCGCCGTGAGGTTAACACCGTGGTCCTTAACCTGGGGTGCACACACCCCTTGAGGGTGCGAGATGCCCTTTCTGTGGGTGCGAGGCGTGGCCAGAATATTTTAGAAGGTAAACCATCGAAACACAAACTAAGCACGGGCACGTGAGTACAACTGCTTTGTGTCATCAAACCCTCTATGTATTTGTGAACATTATAAAAAAAACATTGAACGATTGAGAACCAAAGGGGCGCAAGGCTGTAATAAAGGTTCAGAACCACCGAGTGAACAGAACAGGTTCGGCGAAACGCAACGCGGTAACACGTGAGGCAGACAAGTGGACAAGGAGAGAACCCGCCGTCCGCGTTGGTTCTCGCAGTTGCGCTCCGCGGGTCGCGCCGCCACGTCGATCGGCACGCTGTCCGGCGTTTCGTTCCAAGCCCTTCCGGTGAGGATTATCGGTACCCCCCCCCCCCCCATGAGCGGCGAAGAGTCGGGCCACAACGTCGAGCGGCACGCGGAACAATCCGCATTCGAGTAGAAACTAAAACTATAAACTAAGCAATTTTTATTTTACCAGGTAAGGCCCACTAAGCTGTGTAGCTCTTTTTCAGAAGCAACCTGGCCACAAATGATAGCTCAACCAAGTGGCTTATCAAGTGGAAATGTATAGCAGCCAAATACTCTAAACGCGTGATGTTGATTCTAAATTTGGAGAGGAAAACTGAAGGACCTGAAGAAAAATACACGCGACCACAGGCAGAGAGACAGGCAAACTCCCAATATATAGCAGGCGTCAGGGTCGGAATCGACCCACGACCTCCTGTATACCAGGCGAGGGAGTTAACATCTCGCCGCCACCGTGGCTCCCGAATAGCTGGGGTGGGGGTAAGCGGGGACTGCATCACGCATCATTTGCAGTTTGAGGGCTATGATTGCTGCTGTGCAGAGAGAGCTGTCGATGATGATGATGCGAAGAGCTGAATTATATCGATTAGCCAACATGTCAGAGAGAAGAGATGTACGCACGACGGCTATTGTGTTGACAAGCCTATTCGTACAAAACAAGCCTTTCAGCGCGCTAACAGTTGAAGCTTCCCCTTGCCGAGGCTGTCACGAAGAAATATTCAAATATGCACCCGCGCTGCACCTCTTTGTAATGCTTGGCGCAACTTTGCCGAAGGTTACGTTTAAAAAATATAGATACATCAGGATAAAAACTTTCACGTAACAGCCTTGAGCACAAAGAGTGGGCTGGCAATCTGCACCTGAATACCAATTGACAAAAGCTGGGGTGCAACCGCGCCGATCAACTGAGCAATAAAGTTAACAATTGGTACGTTGCTGTAAACATGCATTGCTGTGTGTGGTAACGGTTATAGAGGCGCAGCCCTGAAGTCTCCTGCTCAAGACCACTGCGGCACAAGGGCCTCCTCCAGAAAGCCCCCTTCAAGATTGTATTTTTTGGCCTACCCTTCCACACTGGCCAGACGTCTTCGGAGTACCCACACTTAACCCCACCACACACGTGACACCGCTGCGCTGACAAGGTGCGGCGTGGGACGGGCGGGCGGGGGATTCGTTGTCATTCAAAGCGCGTGACTCCCCACGCTTCTTTGCGCACTTTTCACGGGATTATGCAGCATCCGATAATAACAAACAATGACAACAACCACAAGAATAATTTAAACAAAATCTATTGCGTATAAAAAAACAAGTGCAAAACTAGTCTCTTGTATGGTCTTTATCGAGAGCTCACAATGTGGTTTTCCTGTTAATGTTACTATCGCATTTGAGTGTGTACTTGGCTCCATGCTGGGTGGTGGATGGGGCCGGCCTTCTTCATTCCAACGCTACGTTGCCGTTTCCCTGCGGTTATTTGTTATTTTTTTGCAACTGATCTGCAAAGCACGCACTTCTGGAAGTGAGCAAAAACCTGCAAATTTAACTCACAACACTGGGGAGACAACCCCCTCTATCGCCAGGGGTTTATGTTTGGAAGGGTTAAGTGCTGTCAAAAGCTGTTAAGCAGAAATGGAAAGTGAACCTGTCACTCCCGTGCAGCAGTTGAAGTGTATCAGGGTAATGTTTCTTTTCACTGGCACCGAAAACGTTTCTTAGAGCAAAATACTACCGTGGCAGCATTTAAAATTACGAGAATAAATATTGCAGCATATCGCATATCCAGCCATCACATGTCTGCCCTGACTAATTAATCTGTCCGTCCCCATTGCAGGGCGTGTGTGTGTATGTGCATGGTGTGTGACTGTTCTACAGACGCGGACCACAAGTGCAGCAGTTAGTGCGTTTGTGCTGCACTTTCGTGCCGTCATTCTTTATAGACGTTCACATATCTGACCTTCACACGTATCCGCCTATGCCTCTGTTCTCACGCGAACCGGATACGTGACACTGCACCTGCATTTCATTA